ACATAAAAACTAGACGCTAACTTTTTTTATTTGAGACGGAGTCTATCTCTGTCGCCCAGGTGGGAGTGCAATGGCTCAATCTCGGCTCACTGCAATCTCCACCTCCTGGGTTCTAGCAATTCTCCTGCTTCACACACACACACACTGACCCCATCCTCTTGGGTGGGTGGTGGTGCCCGGCACCACGCCTGGCTAATTTTTTGTATTTTAAGTAGAAATGGGGTTTTGCCACGTTGGCCAGGCTAGTCTGGAATTCCTGACCTCAGGTGATCCACCTACCTCAGCCTCCCAAAGTGCTGGGATTACAGGTGTGGGCCACCGAGCCCGGCGCTTTATATCCCAATCATACACAGTGCTCTACTGGCTAAAAATTTAAATATGATATTATGCACCCCTAGGCAAAACTCTGGACATTTTGACTTCATAAGTCTGAGGGAAATGTAGAAGGGGCCTTATGGTTGAAATTCCTGCTAGAGATGAACAGGCCTAGGACAAGAGAGAATTACATTGTTAAAGGATTTCAGAAGAGAATAGGGATTAAGGGTTCAGTGGCAACAACAGCTTTGGGAACTAGCATTACTTGTGTACTTATTTACAATATGCCAAGCACTGTTGCTGTTTATACTTATTTTCCTTTTTTTTTTTTTTTTTTTTTTTTTTTTTACAAGGCATTCATCCATTGGTACATGGTTGATATTTCTTTTCAAACACATTCTTGTCACAGCACTTTGAGGTTGATGCCTTTGTCATTCCCACTTCAGAGATGAAGAATTAAAGCTTGGTGGCATTCAAGATGTAGCTAGTTACCTGTGTCTATGTGAACAGTTTTTGTTGTTGTTGTTGTTGTTGTTTTAAAGTCAATAAATTTTTATTCAGGAAATTTCACATCAAGGTCACCTTAGTTCCTCTGAAGAGCTGGAGTCAAAATACATCTTCAAAAGATTCATCTTCAACTTAGCCCTCCTTAATACAACTGATGCTTAATCCACAGTTATCAGCCCACAATTATTTTATTTTTCCTTGTTTTATCTCCATTTCAATGTGAATATACTGATGAAAATTTCAATATTCTTCACCAAGAATCTTCAGATATAATTTCTTCAACCACTTTACCCAGGGATCATTTTAAAATTAGGTGTATCTGCCTGGTTCTCAATGTGGCACACTTTCTCTCTAGATGTGAATGAGTTCCAATCATATTTATTCCTAAGCTATCACACTCAAGTATACTACAAAGCAGTGGAATACGCCAAAAGTTAAAGTAAAAAATTAAATTATTAGATATTTCATACTTTTGGCTAGTTCTTGATCTGTGAGTGAAGATAACTTATACATATGTCCTGGCACTGTTCCTTGGAAACATAGGGACCACATATTTAATTTTAAATGTTCTAGTAGCCACATTTTAAAAAGTTAAAAAAAAAAAACTGAAATGTACTTTAATGATTTTAATCTAGTGAAATCAAAAATTGTTTAAACAAGTTATCTAATATTAAAATATTGAGTTTTTACTTTGTTTTTTTTTACTAAGTCTTTGAAATCTGGTATTTTACACTTAAAGCACATCTCGGTTTGTGCTTAATAGCCATATTTTAATACTTAATAGCCATATATGGCTAGTGGCGCTCATCTTGGACAGGACAGCGTTTATACTCTGGGAAGACACAAGCCAATACTTGCTCTGCAGCAGAATACAGATGTTTTCCAAGAAAAGAATTTTTCTGACCTATTTCTGAAACCCAGAGAGTCTGTAATACTTTATATTTTATTGGCTTTCCTATTGTAACTGCCCAACAGGCTCTCCTTATCCACTGCCCGGACACAGCCCAGTTATCAAGACAGGGCAATTGTGAGTAATTCACATGGAGCTGGCAGTATGGGAGACTAAAGTTTTATTATTACTCAAATCAGTCTCCTTGAGCATTTGGGAACCAAAGGTTTTTTGTTTATTTGTTTGTTTGTTTGTTTTGTTGTTGTTGTTGTTGTTGTTTGTTTTTTTAGACAAAGTTTCACTCTTCTTGCCCAGGTTGGAGTGCAATGATGCCATCTGGGCTCACCTCAACCTCTGCCTTCCGGGTTGAACAGACTCTCCTGCCTCAGCCTCCCAAATAGCTGGTATTATAGGTGTGTGCCACCATACCCAGCTAATTTTGTATTTTTGGTAGAGAATGTGTTTCTCCATGTTGGTCAGGCTGGTCTTCAACTCCTGGCATCAGGTGATCTACCCACCTCAGCCTCCCAAAGTGCTGGGATTACAGGCGTGAGCAACCGTGCCTATCAGGGACCAAAGTTTTTACGGATAATTTGGTCAGAAGGAGACCAGTGAGTCAGGAGTGCTGGTTGGATCAGAGATTAAATTATAGGGCGTGTAAGCTGTCCTCGTGTTCTAAATCAGTTCTTGGGAGTGGTGGGGTGGGGGACACAAAACTAGATAAATCCAGTTATCTATCTCGGTGATATCAGCTGATCCATTGAGTTCAGGGTCTGCAAAATAGCTCAAGCATTGATCTTAGCTTTTAAAATAGTGATTTTATCCCCAGGAGCAATTTGAGGAGGTTTAGAGTCTTGTAGCCTCCAGCTCTATGAGTCCTAAATCATAATTTATAATCTTGTGGCTAATTTGTTAGTCCTGCAGAAGCAGTCTGGTCGCCAGGCAGGAAAGGGACTTGTCTTTAAAAGGGCTGCAATCCTTTTTATTCCAAAGCTAAACTGAGTTCCTCCCAAAGTTAGTTAATCCCAAGCTCAGGAATCAATGAGGACAGCTTAAAGGTAAGAAGCAAGATGGAGTCTGTTAGATCAGATCACTGTAATAATTTTCTCAGTTAGGGTTTTTGTAAAGGCACTGTCACTATCCACTTCACCTCACATCACGCCTCTGACTAGACACTACAGGATTCCAACAAAACTTAGGTCAGGCCACCACCATGTCTCCCTGTCCACCCTGAAGCAGTCCAATTTCTGAAACAAAGAAAACTATGTATGATAGGATAAAACTATATAAGAGAAGGAAATTATGTATGATAATCCATTCTAAGGTTATCTTATTAATTAGAAGATATTAAAGTATGGGTTGACACGGCCTGGCAATCTCTGCTGGTAGTATGAATTTGGTCAGTTCCTGAGACTGTAATTCCTGAGACTGAGCCTCGACTTCGGTAATGGAGACAGTAAGACAATTTCCATTACAGTGCTGAAGTAAGAATTTTACAATTAAAAAAATAAAAATAAAAATATTTTTACATAATAATTCAGATCAACCACTTCACGTGGTACTTGACCCATGGAAAATTCAGTACTTCTCAATTCATAGGGTCCTCCTGCAGAGACGTATTTGAATAGAGTGGTAGGATGATGAAGAAGGCCACATATAATTTGATAAAGCATGGCCAGTGAACTGAGGCAGATTTATCATGAAACTAATGAAACTCAGGTGTCTGAAACTGTACTTCCAATGTGCTCAGAGGGACCCTACAAATGTGTTACTTTCTCTCTCTTTTTAAAATCAGTGTTAACATATTTTAATCACAGATGGTTATGACATTTATTTCTACTCAATCCTCCTCTCTGTTAAAATTCACCGTTGTCTGATTATGTTGGAATGCTGATGAAAATATTTGAAATTTGAGTAAGAGAAAAAATTCAGCTGAAGCTGTATCTAGTATGGGGATAATAAGTTATGTGATTTGCATATGTGTTCATGTGTGGTTTATTCCTTACTGGTTAACATGATGTAAGAATGGCTTCAAGGAATGTTCCTACTGCTCACTGGAATAACTCACCTGAATTCCTGGCAAGATGCAGTTCTAGATAATATGTTATGACGTCTAGGTATTCAAAACACCTTCCCAGAACTAAGCATGAGTATCTAGGGGAGAGTACAAATCTATGGAGCCAGAAGCTTGTCTGGAAATAATTCTTAAAAAGTTTACAACAAAAAGTTTGAAAGGAGCTTGACAGAGGATTTTCCAAATTTGAAAACAATCCTAAAAACTAACTTGACATTATCGATGTGTTTTCAAATTGAAACTCTTCTAAGTTATCAGGAAAACAAATTATCATCAGATACCCTGGAGGAACGATGGAATTCTCTTTCTATTACCTATAGACAATATTACAAAATATTTTTGATCTGAAGATGGAATCAGTATTGTCAAAACTACAGGAAAATACACCTTGTAGTGTCACATTCAGAAGTTAATAAAATATGCTACTTTCAGAAATTTGTGATGGCTATTATTTCATATGCTTTTACAAAATTGGAATTTGATTTTTTAAATTACGAATTAATATTTACTGTCTACACTACTTTTGCAGTTTTAGTTCTATATTATAGTTTTTAATGGTTAAGAAGTTGTAAAAGCTTTGAGCACAGGAAACCTTGACCTATCCCATCAGTTAAGTATACTAATACTTGGAAAATTTAAGAAATTAGCATTTAAATATTTTTAAATATTAAGAGTACATGGATAAGAGTTTTGCGGTTGCTTACCCTTCATTATCTCAAGACCCCCGCATTTTAAGCAATGGCTGCATAATCTTTGGTTGACTATAGGCAAATCTAGTTGTCATATAAACCTATTTAGTGAACTTTGTCCACTAACCTATTCAGTGTGTACTGAGGCCTCCGTCTGAGCTGACTCCACTTCTAGCATACCAATTCCAATACTGGATATTGGAGTCAGACGTTAATGTTTTGGGACTTTAGAAAACGATATGAACTTTGACCTAATGACTTAATGTAATCAGACCTAAAACTTTCAGGTAAATTAAAAGCAGTGATGGCACTATCAGGAGCCTGTTTTATTCAAAACGTGTTTGTACACACAAACCTATGAGACAAGACATCCAGTATTTAACAAGTCTTGAATCGTTTTCTAAACACGACCCTTCCAAATGAAAAGGCTGTAGGTAAGCTTGCTTGCACTGTTACTAAAAATTGCAGAAGTTTTTATTAACACATCTGCAAAACCTTTACACGTCGTGGGCATTGAGATGTACAACCGAATAGGTTACAACTGTTTAAGTGAAATTTTAAGTGGCTCTGAAAAGAGCCTTTTCAGTTAGATGGAAATAAGCAGATTTACGCCCTTTCCCCACGGATACGACGTGCCAATTGGATGTCTTTGGGCATGATAGTCACGCGCTTAGCGTGAATAGCACACAGGTTGGTGTCCTCGAAGAGCCCCACCAGGTAGGCCTCGCAGGCCTCCTGCAGCGCCATCACCGCGGAGCTCTGGAAGCGCAGGTCGGTCTTGAAGTCCTGCGCGATTTCTCTCACAAGGCGCTGGAACGGCAGCTTGCGGATCAGCAGCTCGGTGGACTTTTGGTAGCGGCGAATTTCGCGCAGAGCAACGGTGCCGGGCCGGTAGCGGTGCGGCTTCTTCACTCCGCCCGTGGCCGGAGCGCTCTTGCGGGCCGCTTTGGTGGCCAGCTGCTTGCGCGGCGCCTTGCCGCCGGTGGACTTGCGAGCTGTCTGCTTCGTGCGAGCCATCTGCAACAAACGCCGGCTCAAAAGTGCAGCAAGAAGAGGAAAAGTTGCCCTTAAATAGCGTTAGAAACATTCTGATTGGTCCTGTGATATTTCAAAAGTCCCGCGCGATAAAATCATTGGCTGAAGAGTGGCCCTCACTGATTGGTTCATTAGCAGACAATCTTATTGGATGAATTGTCCACAGCCCGTCCGGTACTTTTTCAGTTTTCTGAAGCGATATTGTCTTAAATTCTAGTTCATCCAGTACCCGAGAACAGTGTGCGTAACAAAGCATCTAAGGATTGTTAAAATTCAAATTCCGACTCGTTAAGTTTGAGTCGGACTTGAAATTCTGCATTTCTGACCGTCTCGCAAGTTTTCAATGCCGGTGAATACTCACTAGACTACCAGAAAAGTTTACTGACTCATGTTTGAAAATGCTTCAAATCAGAGAATGAAAATTCTACATTACTTAGTTACTACCCAGCAGCAAGTGTCCTTGCCCTGTTACATAAGTCCAAGTCACGTTCCCACCCTGCCTGTTCTCAAAATGTCTTTTTGATTTTCTCTGAGTTTCACTTTGTATACTCTACAGTATAGTTTCTTATGGTATTATTTTCTCGAAACTTTTGAATACCAGTAGGCTGGGGACGGGGGGGCTCAAGCCTGTAATCCCAACATTTTTGGAGGGCCATGGGACAATGGGAGGAGTTCAAGGCAACCCTGGCATGGTGAAACCCCGTCTCAAATAAAAATACAAAATTTAGCTAGGCGTCATAGTAGGCGTCTGTAATCCTAGCTACACAATGAGGTTAAGGCATGAGAATCGCCTCCGGGAGGCGGAAATTGTAGAGCCGATTTCGCGCTGCTGCACTCCAGCCTGGGTGACAGAGAAAAACTGTCTCAAAATAAACCAAACCAAAGCAAACCCCAAAAATACCAAGTAAGATACCATCCTTTTTCGTGAAACTGCGGATGGCTCTGAAAAAATCCGTTTCAAGTGTAAGGTACGTTTTCTGGTTTGAGAGAACTTTACTCGCCCGCATCCTTGATAGCTGTTTTTTGCAGCAACAGCACGGCCTGAAAATTGGCCAGGACACAGCCCTGAGCGATAATGACTCTGCCCAGCAGCTTGTTAAGCTCCCGGTCGCTGCAGATGGCCACCTGCAGGCAGCCCGGGATGATGCGGGTCTGGTTTTCACGTACGGCGTTGCCCGCCAGCTCCAGGATCTCGGCGGCCGGGTACTCCAGGTACACCGACGCGCCGGCTCCGACCGGCTCCGAGGAATTGCTCTTTCGAAAAAGACGACGGACTCTGCCCTACTGGAAACTGCAAGGTCGCAGGCGGGGCACAAGTTTCTGGTTTAGCTCAAATTTTATCTCCCTGTTTTCGACGTCGGGACGTAGCAACCTACGCAAGCAGTATAAAACTGAAAAACAAGCAAAATAATGTTAACTCCTGAAAAAATCCTTCTATACAAAGTGGAAGGCTCCAATACGAAGCTATCCTATAGGTCAGTTGTGTTCGTTTCCGTGTCCGTTAGAAAAAGAGAACGTAATTTCCGTATTTGCATAAACCCCACCCCTCTGCGACATTGCTTCTTATGTCCAATCAGAAGTGACAAGTCTTAAACCATCATTTGAATTTCAGGACTATAAATAAAAGGGCTCTGAACCGTTCTCTCTACTACTACGTCCTGGAGCGTGCTGTTAGCTTTTCTCTTCTGCTTAAGAAAAGCAATGCCCGAACCCTCAAAGTCTGCTCCAGCTCCTAAAAAGGGCTCTAAGAAAGCCATCACCAAGGCACAGAAGAAGGATGGTAAGAGGCGTAAGCGCAGCCGCAAGGAGAGCTACTCCATCTATGTGTATAAGGTTCTAAAGCAGGTCCACCCCGACACCGGCATCTCCTCCAAGGCCATGGGCATCATGAACTCCTTCGTCAACGACATCTTCGAGCGCATCGCGGGCGAGGCTTCCCGCCTGGCGCATTACAACAAGCGCTCGACCATCACCTCCAGGGAGATCCAGACGGCCGTGCGCCTGCTGCTGCCCGGGGAGCTGGCCAAGCACGCCGTGTCCGAGGGCACCAAGGCTGTCACCAAGTACACCAGCTCCAAATAAGTGCTTGTGTAGGCACCTCCAAATTCAAAGGCTCTTTTCAGAGCCACCTACTTTGTCGAAAAGAGAGCCATAACCATAACCCCTGCTGGAGTGGTGCTGCCACTGTTCTGTTTCAGTTTTACAAGATCAACGGGAAAGTTTGCGAAGGCAAGTTGTAAAGTCAGCGTTAAATTGGACAGGATCAGGCACAGAGGCACAACCCTTTAGCCCCAGCACTTGAGGTCAGGAGTTTGAAACCAGCCTGACCAACATGGTAAATCTCCGTCTCTACTAAAAACACAAACGTTAGCCAGGCGTGATAGTGTGCACCTGTAATCCCAGCCACTCGGGAGCCTTGAGGCAGGAGAATCGCTTGAACCCAGAAGGCGGAGATCGAGCTACTGCACTCTAGTCTGGGAAACAGACACTTGGGAGGGTCCTTCGGCTTTAAGGAATACGCACCCCGAATAAGGCTTTCTCATCTTCATTTAACAAATTTTCTTTCCCTTCGATAAGCCTTCGGGTAGATTAATTCCTTTGATACGGTCACTACTCCCTTCCTGTACTAGCACAGGAAACTAATTTCCTTCCTGAATAATGAAGCAGATAATGGGATTCAGGGTACAGTGTTTCTGTGGAGGTCGTTAGTCGTTAACCCCTAGTGAGATACGGGGGAAGGGGTCAGAAAAGTCTAAGTGATAAGAGGGCACATAGGGATATTTGCTCCTGCAGCTTGCGTACGCTGTAAATTCTTAATCGAAGTCTGATTTCCCGGCCTCCTTTATGGGGTATATTTCCAGCTCTACAAAATGAAATTGTGGTGGTTTCCCGTTATTATTGGGTTTTTTTGCTTGTTTTGAGACGGAGTCTCGCTCTCTCTTCAGGCGGGAGTGCAGTAGTGCGCTCGGCTCAGTGCAACCTCTGCTTCCCGGATTCAAGCGATCTTCCTTCCTCAGCCTCCGGAGTAGCTGGGACTATAGGCTCACGCAACCACTCCCAGCTAAATTTTTAGCAGAGAAGGGGTTTCACCATGTTGGCCAGGCTGATCTCCATCTCCTGACCTCGTGATCCAGCCACCTCGGCCTCCCAAAGTGGTGAGATTACAGGTGTGAGCCACTGCGCCCGGCCCTTCCCTTATAATTGTTTATCAATGACAACAGCTTATGTAGTGTGCGTATTTCATGGCATCCCAGAAATCAAGATTTCCATTTCCTAGGCCGCTTAACTTTCAAATTTCCAGCTCTGCGAGAGACAAAGTGGTTTAAATTTTGTCCCCTTCCACATCTGGCACCACTGCAAATCTTACTAGGAGGGCCCTGCTTGGAGAGGGAAACTTTTTTCGAGGAATCTGGGATGCCAAAAACAATATAGCTACAAAAAGGTAGGAAGGGCACTGGTTGAGGAGGAGGAGTCAATGGGCCACCCCTGAGTCTGGGGCTTGGGGAAGAAATGCCGAAGAAAAGACAGGTGTTGACTGCTCACTAAGTAGGAGTGGGTGGGGAAATCAGAGGAGAGTATTCTGAGGGAATTTATGGGCATTGTATGTAGGTAACATTCATCAGTGTCTTTGGATGAGGAAATAAAGTTTCTCCAACAGTTCTTGTTTTTGTTTTGAGACAGAATCTTGCTCTGTTGCCCAGCCACCATCATAGCTCACTGCAGCCTTGAATTCCCCAGCTCAAGGAGCCTTTTACCTCAGTCCCTTGAGTAGCAGGAACTATAGAAACACACCGCCACACCTGGTTAATTTTTTAACCTTTTGTGGAGACAAAGGGTCTTCCTATGTTGTCCGGGCTGGTCTTGAACTACTGGGTTCAAGCTATCCTCTGGCCTTGGCCTCCCAAAGTGCTGAGATGACAGGAAGGAGCCATGACGCCCAGCCCAGATTTAATTTTTAAGAATGTTTTAGGACCAGGTACGGTGACTCACACCTGTAATCCGAGCACTTTGGGAGGCTGGGGGTGAGGGGACGTGGATCACAAGGTCAGGAGTTCAATACCAGGCTGGCCAACACGGTGAAATCCCATCTGTAATACAAAAAAAATACAAAAATTAGCTTGGCTTGGTGGTAGGTGCCTGCAATCCCAGCTACTTGGGAGGCTGAAGCAGAGAATTGCTTAAACCCTGGAGGCGGACGTTGCAGAGAGCCAAGATCATGTCACTGCACTCCAGCCTGGGCTACAGAGCAAGACTCCATCTCCAAAAAAAGAGAATGTTTTAAAACAAGTTCTCAGCCGAGCATGGTACAGCTCATGCCTGTAATCCCTGCACTTTAGGAGGCCAAGGTGGGAGGATTGCTTGAGCCTAGTAGTCCAAGACCAGTCTAGGCTACTAAGTGAGACCTTGTCTCCACAAAAAATGTAAAAGTTGACCCAGGCGTGGTGGCGCGTTTCTGTAGTCCCAGCTACTGAGGAGACTGAAATGGGAGGATCACTTGAGCCTGGAAGGCAGAGATTGCAGTGAGCTGTGATGGCGCCACTGAACTCCAGCCTGGGTAAGGAGCTAGACCCTGTCTCAAAAAAAAAAAAAAAAAAAAAAAAAAATCTTGCTATCACACTAACTCTCAGTGAACAACTGTATGTGAAGCACTTCCCATCCTAGTACTGTACATGCAAACTATTGTTGTGAAAGAGACGTTTGGCCTAAAAATCAATAACTTTTTAAAAATTATAAAACAAATACCTTCCCCCAAAATATTAATAAGGAATTGAGACTGCATTTTAAGAAACTGATATTTAGGATCTTTCCCTGGAGGAGTGAGACCTGATAATATTAGCATTTTCAAAATGAACTTTTGGGCTAGGTGTGGTGGCTCATGTCTGTAAATCCCAGCACTTTGGGAGGCTGCGGCAGGCGGATCACTTGAGCTCAGCAGTTCCAGAACAGCCTGGGAAACAGGCCAAAAATCCGTCTCTACAAAAAGATACAAAAAATTAGCTGG